AAGAGAGAGGGAAGCCAAAAGCAGAGGAACTTTTGCTCTGCTTCCAAATTGGGTCTCTAGGGGAATCCCACCATGGTGAGGTGAGGGGTGCCAGGGAAGAACAGAAATAATCATGTGGCCTGTGAGGTAGAAGGGATACTGGGTCAGTCCCCTGCAACCTCAGTTCTTCACTAACAGGAGAGATGCAGACCTTCCCCTGCACTCCCAGTGGAAAGTGGGAGGCGAGCTGAGATCTGGGCTGAGACGGGGCTGCCGTGATGAAGGACAGGGTGACCTAGAGCCAAGGCTACAGGCTACTGAGTCAGTAAAGAGCAGTGTGGCCCAACGTGGGGAAACTGCCCCACCTGCTAGTACATGACCACGTTGCCAAGGCCCACACTCTGCTACCGTGGCGTTCCTGGTGCTCCCCTGGCATCTTCTTGGTCCAGATGCTCCAACAAGTGCTGGAGCATCTGGTCTGATGGGTTGGTGCTCATGCCCTACTGCTTGCTAAACATTTTGAGTATCACCTGGAAAGTCTGAGCCAGGGAAGAAACAAGGTGATGGGCAAGACGCATAGGAGCTGTGGCGCCAGTGAGAGGCACCGTGGGCCTAAGCCAGCCAGTCGACTCAGAGGAGGCACCAGAGCTCAGGTTTTCCCCGCCATGGACCCAGCAGGAGATTCAGCAGGACATCTGATGACCAGGCAGCACGTGTGGATCAGCCACCTCCCTGCCATTCCCCCTATCCTCAGGCTCCTACCTGGCTGGGGGGAGGTGCCCTGTGGGAAACTGGAAGACGGAGTGTCTACCCAAAAGAAACTGAATGAATCCAAGGGAGGTGGATTGGAGCCAGCTGAGATAACATGTAGGGGCAGGTTTCGTTCTCCTTCCCTAGTGAAAAGGGGCCTCCGGAACCAAATTAGATTGTTACTAGAAAAGGTTCTTTGTTACTTTGTGGGGTTTTGGCCTCAATTTGCAATGAGTATAAATTTTCACAATGATATATATATATGCATATATGTATATACATATATATGTCATATTTATATATAAAAGAAATAATTTCTTCCAAAATGGTTAAGATGTCAAAACAGATAGGATTTTTTTTTGGTTTTTGTTTGTTTTTTGTTTTCTTTTTTTGAGGCAGGGTCTCACTCTGTCTCCCAGTCTAGAGTGCAGTGGCATAGTCATAGTTTACTGCAATCTCCTACTCTTAGGCTCAAGCAATCCTCCTGCCTCAGTCTCCTGAGTAGCTGGGACTGCAGGCACCCGTCACCATGCCCGGCTAATTTTTCTGTTTTTAGTAGAGACAGGGTCTTGCTCTTGCTCAGGCTGGTCTTGAACTCTTGGCCTCAAGTGATCCTCCCAAGGTAAGCCACCACCGGGGGCAGCCAGGATTTTCTTTTATTGCTTTGAAAGATCATCTTCTACTCTCTGGAAAATGTGCCCACCTAGAATGGCTTGTCCTCTGAGGGCCACCAAAGGTGACAGCTATCCTGAGCGTGTCCAGAAGAAAAGATAAAAGCCAACCAAAAAAAAAAAAAAAAAAAAAAAAGACTGAAAAACCCAAGTGATTTTCATCTATTCTGTGTGGGAAAATCCCTCACCCCTCACCACAAGAAAACCTGATCTTTAGCCTGACGACAGCCCATATTTACTGGGTTTTCCCCACAGACCCAAAAAGTCCCCCCAGGAAACCTTCTGCTCTCCCCAGGGTTGTGGACAAGGGTTCCATTTGTGTCCCCAGCCCCTCTGGCTCCTCTCTGGAGTCAGGTGCCGACCAGCTTGGTCCTGGCAGTGAGCACAGCTCCAGGAAGCTTGGTGACCCTTCCCCTCCCACTCCGGCTGACCTAACTGAGCAGCAGCGTATGGGAGGCACAGCCATGGCCACCAGTATTCACTCTCTGCACCCGTGAAGCCTGCACGGCATATGACTGGGAAGGACCAGAGTGTCCTCAGTCCTGTGCATGTCCTCACTAGGGAGTCTGCCTCTCTCCCCCCACTGCGCGGAGGCAGAGCCCTGTTTGTCCACACTGCCAGCACAGCACGGACCACCATCCTGATGGGAGGCTGAGGCCCACTGCCATCCCGATCCGCTCACCTGCTCCTGCTGTGTCTGTTTCTCCTTCTGGTAAATAAGAGTAACCCCCCCTCCCAGCCCTGGTGTCGGAACAACGTGAGCCCCACATCTGGTCACTGTAACTTCTGTTTTGAAAATGGCCTGGGTCCTCGAGGGGCTGTCATGAGTCATCACAGCCCGACGCAGTTACCAATGACAATGATGCAGCGCGAGCAAGAAATAAACGTGTGTTGTATTAAGCTACCGAGAGGTGTTAGACTATTGCTGCGGTACACCTGGTATGCACAGCAACCAGCAGAAGGATTAGGACATTGCATTCATTTTCTGCTGCTGTGTAACAAACCACCACAAACTCAGCCGCTTAAAACAACCCCATTTGTGAGCTCACCTTGCTATAACAGGTCACATGTCTGGGCTCAGCTTAGATGGAGTATCTGCTCAGGGTCCCACAGACTGAAATCAGGGTGTCAGTTGAACCATGTTCTTTGCTGGAGTTGGATGTCCTGTTCCAAGCTCATATGGTTGTTGTGATTGAGAAGCTAAGCTGGGGTCTCCACTTTCTTGCTGAATGAGACCACTCCCAGTTATAGCTGCCACCCGTGTTTTCCTGCCCTGTGGCCCTGTCCACAGCATGACGACAGAACATCTGCTGCTGCTTCAGGTCTCTCTGACCACTTGACTCCTCTAAGGAGCCCACCCGATGATGTCTGGCACAGCCATCATGGTCTTCCATTCGTTAACTTCAGGTCAACTGATTGGGAACCTAAATTACAGTGCTAGGATTCCTTCACCTGTGCCATCTAGGTCACTAGATCACTCCCACCGGATCATGGGAGTGACGTTCCACCTATTCGCATGTCTCACAGGGAGGGGATTCTACCAGGGCATGAATCAGCGAGAGTCATCCTAGAGTTCTGCCTACCACAGACATGTAAGAAAAATACCCTGATGAATATTACCTCTAGAAATTTAGGATCCACCAGAAGCTTTTTATTGACGTCTCCCTTGCTCCTAGACCTCTTCCTGAATTTTCTAAAGCCCTGCTACTCAAAGTGTGGTCCGTGGACCAGCAGCATGAATATCACCTGTTAGAAATGTAGACTCTCAGGCCCAACCTCACTCCTCAGGGATAAGTCATCCGCCCATTAACAAGACTCCCGCAGGATGTGAGAAGCATTGATCTCAAAAGACCCTTGTCCTGAAATAGCCTCCTCAGAGGCTTGTCACTGGGCAGGACACTCCTCTTCTCTCTCCTATGGATGTGGTTCTCAAAGTGTAGTCCCCAGGCCAGTGGCATCAGCATCATCCGGGAACTTATCAGAAATGCAGATTCTCAGGTCCCCAAACTACACTGAGTCAGAAATTCTGAGTGGGCCCCACAATCTGTGTTTTAATAAGTCCACCGGGTGACTCTGATGCAGCCTCAAGGTTGAGAACCATTGGCCAAAGGCAGTGTCATGACCAAGTGTCCCCCACATGGAGAGCAGTGAGGATGACATACAGAGGCAACCTGCGTCTGCAATGCTTCTGTTGTGTTGTTTCCAGGGGCCCACTGAGCTCTCCTGGCGCTAGGGAAGAGGGATCAGGGTTTCTGGGTCTTCTGGATCACTCAGCTCTGGCTGCCAAACAATTAGATGTTGCAGGTTGGAGTGGGAGAGGGGACATTGAGGGGAAGGCAGTGGGCAGGGCCAGGAAGGGGGGTTCCCAGGCCAACTGAGAAAATCCCAGGCAGACACTATCCTTCCAGTTCCCCCAACCCATTAAGCTAAGATTCCTTCTTGCCTTTTGGGATAAACAAAGAAACAAAAAAAAAATGGACTAGAAAAATACAATTAAAATGGACAAGATTTTAAATGAGGTTTAAAGGAAGGCGCTCTCTTCCGTCTGTGATATGGGAATGCCAAGTGAGCCCGGGGAAGGATGCCCACTGGCCTGGGAGGGCAGAGCTGCAGAAACGGGCAGGGGAAGGGGGAGTCTGGTGGGAGACGAGATGAAGCAGAGAGAGGGGAGCTGGCAGCACCCACCGCAGATACGCAGCGCTGGGAGGGACTGGAGGGTTGGGACACCCAGTTGCCTCAGTTCATACAACAGGAAACTCAGAGAGATAGATCCTGATCAAGATCGCACCATCTTAGATGCAGAGCTAGAAGGCTGGGGCTCAAAGAAGATGAAGGGGCTCCAAAAGGGACTAGAATTCAAGAGAGGGAGCTTCAAAGAGTAAGAGCAAATGTTTATGTGGCGCCTGCTTCGTCCTGCCCATAGTTGTATGTGCTTTATGTTATTCAGATTCTTTGGCTGTGTGATCATCACCATCAAGACCGCTATTTGTAGATGGGGAAACTGAGGCACTGGATAGTTAAACTGTGTAACATCACACAGCTAGTCAGAAGCAAGCTGGACTTTGAGCCCAGGCCAGTTAGCCTCAGGGGACAGGTTGCACCCCAACTGCATTTTGCTGCCTCTCACAGACAACCTCCAGACTCACTGCTCAGCCAACACCAGGGGCTCAGGCATCAGAGAAACGACACGTACTTTTAAAAATCAAGCATTCTACACCAGAAAATCCCAAGGAACGAAGCGTCTACATTCAGCAAGTCCACATCTCACATGTGCAGCCTCTTGTGCGGTGGAAACCGGTCTCTGACAATCAATTTCCTCCTGTCAGATGCTACAACATTTTTGCCTGCCACCTAAAACCACAGAACGTTCTCAGAAACCCTGGGATCTAGCCCTTTCTTTTACAGATAGAGAAATTGAGGGCCAGAAAGGTCAGGAAATGCTTAAGGTCACCTTCACACAGGTGAAGAAAGTCACAGATGAAGAAGGTCACCCAGATGAGGTCTGGAGTCACCTGAGATCCAACAGAAATGGACTCAGGTGTCCTGACTCCCAGATAGCACTCGCTCTCTGTCGCTCTCTGTCTCTCAAAAGCCTCTTACCTGCAGCTCTGCATTCTTTCACCTTGTTGCTTCTCGTCCAGGGAAGGCTGCCAGGCCAGACTTTCACCTTCAGTGGGAGCTCGGCTGCCTGGGCAGGGATTTATAACCTCCTGGCGCAGGATTTCCTGACTGGCTGTGTCACTCACTCCCAGTGAGTGGCGGTGGACACACCTTTTTCCTCTTCGCAGGGGAGCACCCCCAGCTGCAGTCCTGAGTATGTGGTCACCCAGATGGGGAAGTGGCCAAGGAAACTCTGCGTAAGTTTCCCTATTTTTTTGTGACTCGCTAAAAATTACGTACTTCCAGCTGAGAGGTGGTTTTAAAATGATGTCTATTTTGCCCAACCATGGCCCCATGAAAGAGAAAAAGAGGTTCTTGGTTTTTAGCCAGTGGAAGAGTTTGTTTCTTCTCCCTCCCCAAGGAACCCTTCTAGGTTATGCTTATGTTTTGATTTGGTTGGCGTTTATTCAGAATCTTATATAACTTTTAATTGTTAGGAGAAGAAAGAAGTTGATTTGCAGATTCTTTATTACTTTTTTTTTTTTTTTTGAGACAGAGTCTTACTCTGTTGCCCATGCTAGAGTGCCATGGCGTCAGCCTAGTTCACAGCAACCTCAAACTCCTGGGCTCAAGCAATCCCCCTGCCTCAGCCTCCCAAGTAGCTGGGACTACAGGCATGTGCCACCATGCCCGGCTAATTTTTTCTATATATTTTTAGTTGGTCAATTAATTTCTTTCTATTTTTTTTAATAGAGACGGGGTCTCGCTCTTGCTCAGGCTGGTTTCGAACTCCTGCCCTTGAGCAATCCGCCCACCTCGGCCTCCCAGAGTGCTAGGATTACAGGCGTGAGCCACCACAACTGTCCTGATTCTTTATCACATTTTGTGGAGTTTGACTAACTGAATAGTTTGTATTCTAAAAGTGGAGCCCAGTGCTAAGTCATGTCTATACAAAACAAATGTCTCCTAACCCCTCTGGCTGCCCCTCCCCCACAAGTCATCTCCATAACATTAGAGAGAGGACAGAAGACAGAGCGTGGGCAGGGGGGAGCCTGACCCGCAGCTGCTGCAGACACTTGCTCAGAGCCACCCGGATCCCCTGCAGGCCTCACCAGTGACAGGGCCAACTTGATCCTGCCTTTCAACACCCTCCACCTTGCTGACTCAGATCGATACTGGCCTCCAGGGACGAGATTTCAAAGACCTCAGGAAGCCAAAAGGGTAAGGACTTGGCCACAGGCTCCCTAGAAGGGCAGGACCTGGTGCTTGAACCCCCTGTGTCCCCTTGTCTACGTGCAGGGCCATGTCACATAGTTTAGGCAGAGGTATAATTTGGATTCCCCCTGTTGGTAGATGGAGAAGAAGGACATCTTTTCAAAATGTACTTTAAAATCCATGTTATTAAACTTCATGACACCTTCTGCCTGATTGATTCAGATCTACGTATTCTTTTACAGGTACAAAGGCAGGTACAGAAACTCTTTTAGAAAACTCTTAGGAATTTCATACCCCAAACAAACAGCTCACAGCCAGAAGGGCCCACTGGCCCTGTCTTTATGCTTTTGCTAACAAGGAAGGTACCTCTTGGAGGTCAAAACCCAGACAATAAAAATCATAGATAAATACAATGTTAGAGCTAGATGGAAACTTAGACCAAATCCATCCTCCAGTTTAAAGAAGAGAACACTGAGGTCTGAGCATTTGGGGGGCTGCAGGTGAGTATGCTATGTTAATATCACAGTGTGTGTAATTTCGTGATGGGTGGTGTTCTTATGGAAACAGTGAAGACCCCAAAACGGAGTTTGCTGGGCAAAGTATAAAATGTTACATTGTATCCATGTTTGTTCTTTTTCCAAGGACCAATGGAAGGTGGAATATTTGTTTTGATTCCATCATTTTGACATGGTAAGATTGAAGTGTGAGCTACACATTTTGGGGTCAAGCCTGATAAGTGTGAAGGACAGGAAGATCTCACCAAACACATCATGCCAGGAAAAAGAGCATGCCAATAATTGAGTTCCTCCCTCCACACTCTCTCTGTGGTCAACCAAACACATCACTCCCGGCTGACCTGCCTTGGTGGGGATCCTCCTCACTGAATGACACCGGCAGCGCACAGCTTAATATAGCCAAAGAGAGGAAGCAAAATCATGAACTCTGCCTCTGGCCATGCTGAAATGTAACTGCTGATCTTGTGATCTACAAAGAGGAATTTACACAACCTCGCTTCTTTATGGAAAAACTTGATCACAGAGTCACAAGAATCGCCTGAACAGTCTTTTCAAGAACGAATGCTCAGACCCAATGCTCAGCCGAGAGTAAGTCCCCACGCCTGCGGTCGGACTCGAGGAACAAGGGCTGCTCTTCCTGTGTCCCTTGTGCTCCGTTAGCAGCCTGCACTGTGCTGTCCCCACCATCAACAGCACATTGGGCTCAATTTCTCCACCAGCCGACAGGAAATGGACAAGGTACAGAATGTTCTGTGGTATCTCGAAATCCTCTGACATTTGGGGTGAAAGTCAGTAGGATGTTGATTGCAAGGACTGAAGCAATGATTCTCTATTTTTTAGACCCAGGAAGACTTTCCAAAGTCTGTTCTGGTTCAGAGATTAATAGGATCCTCTGAAAGCCCTTGTAGCAAGGTTTTGACCCCTTTCCCTTCCTTATAATGTACAAACCAGAGGGTGGAGGAAGGTGAGAAGGGAGGAGATGGGTGTCTGTTGGCCCCTGTGACATGTATTATAACAGGTGTTATCTGTCCCCAGTTTTATGGTACAGCCTCAATTCCACATACTCTGTCATACCATCCCCATACATCCACTCATTCTTATCAGAGCAGAGTCCCATCATTTTGATTCAAGAAAATATGGTCATCAAAACCATAGGATAAATTTAGAAATCAGACCCCACAAAATTAAAAAACTCTAACGCCTGCCCTGGCCAACTGGACAATAGCAGAAAAAACTCTATGTCTTAGTCCCTTTTGCCATATACAGTAACATGTTCACAGCTTCCAGGAATTAGGACGTGGACATCTTTGGGCTCTGTTATTCTGCCTACCCTAAGCTCATAGATTCCCTCTAGTCCTTGTGGTTTGAGCTTTACAATTTTACACAGAAGCATTTAAAAAAGGCTCTGCATTAATATGAATCAGAACACCACAATTCCTTTCACGCCTAAAGCTAAAGTTGTCTAGAAAGCATAGACAAAGTGTGCATAGAGCTTTAAAATCTATAGGAGAGATTTTATTGTGCTATTCTTTTTGGAGAGGATCCAGTCTCTACAGTGGAAGGGCTTTTTTGTTCTAGGCTTTCTGTTTACTTCTTTCTCCCACCTTGGGTTTCCATGAGAGACCCTGGAAAAGGCTGAGACTTCCTGGAGGCCACTCATGGGTGGAAAACCAGGTGAGTGGCACCCTCTGGGCACCAGGCACTAGATTGGGCCTGGTGCCCTCAGAGGAGAGAGAAGCCCTGAAGTGGGACCAGATTCCAGCTGTCCTCTCATCCGTGCTCTGGGTCTTGTGGCAGGGCGGGTTGGAGGGAAAATGGGCACCAACAGCCTCTGCCCACTTTCCTTCCAACCCGCCCAGGCCCAACCCAGTACCCAGTGCGCAGAGCGCTCCACTCTGCTGCTCCACCATCTGCACCACCAAGCTTTCCCTCCGCTCGGGGGGCTCCAGGCAGGTCCCACCTGCTCCGACCTGTCTCCCTTGCATGGGGTGGAAGCCCCTGCTCCCTTGGCCTTGCCCAACCTCCTTCTAGATCTGTCCCAGAAGGAAACCCTAGAAGCCAGCCGCGCAGGGCACTGACAGCCCACTCACTGAGCTGGACCCAGGCGCTCTGATCCAGGGGAGAGATGGAAACAATTCCTTTCCCTTAGAACCAGAAAGGAAGGAGATTTCCTCATGATGGGAATTTGATTTTCATTCTGGGTCAGTGAGCAACACGATGATTATTCATCCTGCCATCATTCGTGCCTCTGAGAACCAGCTCAAGTGTCCCCCTCCCAGAAGAGGCCGATTAGCTTTTCCTGCCAACAGTCCCAACCGCTTTTTGATCTGGTCCAAACTGACAGAGGAGACTCCAAGTCACGATGGGCTCACAGACACAATCCAGTCCATCTTTGTTATGCACCTGGAGGGAAGATGCTGCCACCTACAGCGGCTGACACTGTGCTTGTCCCACGGCACGGCATATCAAGTCAGAGTGCAGCTCCAGCCTGAAGCTCACGGACATGTGATCTGATGCCGGAGCTATTCCCCCCGGGCTCAGGCTCAGCAGGAAGAGGTGTCGGAATGACTTTCAGACAGCGACTATCGGGTCCCAGTCAGTAGGCAACACCAGAACAGACCCTCAGCCCATCCTCCACCCTGGCCTTCCCTCCTCTCAGCCCCCCGCTACCCACCAACCCCACCAGCTATGACGCTCAATGTCAAAGTGGCTCCTTGCAGCTCCTGTTGGAAGGAAAAATTGCAAATAGCTGATTAATTGAGTTGACTTTGGACTCACAATGGAGGTGGCACTAAAAGAAGATGAGGTCTCTCCTCAGGACTCTCAGGTGTGTGTAGGTGCATGTGGGTATTTAGGGGCGCGCATGTGTGTGTGTTTGTTTTTGAATGAATTGCTCTCTTTCATTCTAGCTCCCCCAGAGCCATGCCCAGCCTCCCACCACTGCTCCTAAGCAACAGTGACTGCTTCCAGCAGCACCTGGCAGGGCCTCCAGGAGGCCAGAAGAGAGGCCCCAGCCACTGCCATTTGGAAGCTCTCAGTGTATTCAAAATTAAAGACCCACTTCCAAACACAGCAACAGGCACCAGACTTTATTCTGAAAGTTTACATTTAGAAAATAAATGCTTTAGGGCTCAAACAAACTACATATGCATTACTCACTTGGAGATAAAAACCTCGAAGTCACCATCCTCAGCCTTTGTGACAGTGAGTCTTGGGCCAAATGGCCTTTCCAACCACTCTCACACCCCTCAACCGCTGCCCTGCCCCACCCCTTGCTCTGTTATATCCCTGTAGTATCTTCCCGCTTCCAGACAATTCTTTCCTTGACTCATGAGACTTCCTCTGCTCTCTAATAGTCCCTGAGCAGCATATAGGACATTTTGCTTGGTTCAGCCGACATCTGAGTCCCCCGCTTCTGAAAAGCAGAGATGGTGTTTGAATCACCATGCAGGGTCCAAACACACCCATTGCCTTCTCAGCATGTGCCACGTTATAGAAAATA